AGAAAAGTATGCATCTGCTTTTTGTAATCATAACAAAGCACGTAGGGTGCGATGCAGAGATTTTTAGGTATCTCACCCCGACAGGGTGACTCACTGAGCTGGAGTTATCCTCCATTTTGTTCAATGGACTGCCAAAAGGTTGCTCAAGAAGACTCACACGTTGACTGGGGAGCTTCCCAGAAGTTAGGGTGCCCAGATGGAGGAGCATGTGTGAGACAAGGATACACATAAACGTTCTGATGCCTGTGCAGCGAACATGCCTTGTTTTCTACATAATCGCTTTCCAGTGTAAAATACATAAATGTTTTGAAAAAGAAGGGTCAGGAATAGCAGTGTACCCCCATTTTGCCCTTTCTGGTGAGGAAGCCATCATAGGTGGGAAAATGCCTCCGGTGGTAACTATGAGGTAGATAGCAGAGGAACAGATCCCAGCTCCTGTGAGTTGGGATTGCCTTGGTTAGAGGAGGTTTAACCCAGGTCTGTCACTCGTTAGTGAGCACCCTAGTTGATAGGCTATTATATTCAGTGAGACTAGTGCCAGTCTTTTGAAGGACGGTGTTGGGTGTGCACTGGACTTTATGCTTCAGCTGTGTATTATTCAGGGGTCATGCAGTGTTTCCTCCAACTACACTGAAGTTATCTCCAGGGTACCTGAGAGCATGTAGGGACCTTTCTAGTTCTGAAGATACTTACCAGAATACTTCACTGCTTCCAGAACCAGGTGGTGATGGGTTGGGTGGCTTTTTTTTCCACACCTAACTCATTTTTTTGGGGGGGTTGAATGATATTTAGCATTTAAGCAGTATTTAGGCACAGCTGTTAACAGTACTGAAGCTAGCACTGTCATTTGCACGGATGAAGGTATTGCTGAATACTGTGAAAATGGGAATTGGATTACATTCTATATAAATGCCCTTCTTTTACTTTAAAATTTTTCTACACTGACAGTGAATTTCTTAATTGGTTAAAGACAATTCTTCCATGACTAATTGTCTCTATCCAAGCTAAATAGATTAGCAGAAATATGAAATAATTATTGTGCTTTTATGTTTCTGGGTGCTTTGTGGGTTAAAAAAAAAAGGAAAGAAAGAAAGACCTTGTCTTGGTATTTTCATTTTCTCTGAATCTTCTTACAAAAGGCTTTTTAAGGCAGAGCTATCAACATTAAGTTTGCTACCTGTGACTAACCAAGGTTGTCTATGGCAGAAGTTCACAAGCTGTACCTCAGCAAAGCAGCATGCAAACACTCCCTGAGGAGCCAATATTGAGTGATGTTTCTACCCCAGCATTAGCAGAAGTAAAAAATACATTTGGGAAGCCTAGCCCAGGGTGCATATTGTTCCACATTGTCAGCTAACACTGCTGAAGCTGTAGCTTGGTTGTGGTTAAATGGATGGTTTACTCAAACTGGGCTGAAAAGTTCCATGGATAACATGATTTGAACGCACGATATTTTATAATGAAGAACCCATTCATATGTGTAGTTACTACCTCTCCCTGTGCTTAATGGTCTTCTGTGTTTTATTGTGTGCTTTTTTTTGGGGGGATGATTTCTCCCTACTTATGATTAGCATTGTTATCAGTACAAACTAGACATTTGGAAATGTCCAGACTTTCCAATGTTTTGCTTATTTAGCAATGTGGTATTCCCCTTGCTGCTTTCCACTTCAGGGATTAGCAATTGAGTATCTTTGATAGCATACTGTGAAAAAGATGCCAAAGCACTCTTTCAACAGCCTTTATCAACGCTGCAGATCGTAAGCGAAGAACATAACTGAAAAAGTTGTTGATTTACAACTGGAAGAATGGTCTTCAACATGGTGGATCATTAGCTAAGCCTCTAAAATGCTATTAACTGAAATTATAGATTGTGGCACATAGGCGATAATAAAAATAATTTGCAGAATGATCAAAAATATATACTTTAAATCCTTAATTTGAGTTATCATTTCCAGTCTAATCATTATTTTTCCCCTTTCACAAAAGCAACTTAGATATTAAGTGTTTAAGAGATTTCAGAATATTCAAAAAATTGAATAATAATTTAGCCAAAAATAGGAAGAGAACCTTTGGTATACAGGTCTGCCTTCTCTCTGCCACATATCTTGAATCTAATTGTAGTAGATGATGTGTGATTAAATCCTGTGACCAGCTTTGAAAATACCATTTTAGCTTAGAAGTAATTATATATGGAAATATGTTATGAGTGCTGTGTGGGTAACTTTCATTTATGCTTACTAAAGTGTAAAACTGGAATCTCTATTTATAAAGCTGTTTAAGGTTCCCTTTTGTTCTATACTTGATTTAATTCAGTCTAGTCAAGTTTTGCTCAAACAGCAGGATTGGTCACTAGTAAATAACACAAAAATAGCTCTTTGATCTGTACAGTCCTCACATACAATGTGCCTGTAGGCATGTGTAGTATAAATATTTTGTAAGTGCAAGTAATTAAAACATTTTGGATAATAGACATGTTGAAACTAGCAGTATTTTACAGGTTTTCAGTTCCAGTTGGATGACACAGGGAACAAATAAGCAAGAAAAACCTCAAATCATCTCAAAATTTACAAAGCATTTGTTTTTAATAGCAGTTATAAAAATTGGCATTGTTTTAATTCCTATTCTTTACATAGAAAAAAGGGTATTCTTGTTGATATATATAATTATAAAATGTGCAGTGGTTTTAAGCTTTGTGTATGAGCTGTCTTTAGATCCAGAAGTATAAAAATGGACAAGATGCATGAGAGTTCTCATTTAATTTGGAGTGTGCCGCTGCTTTTATTAGTATTACTTAATTGATCTGGCAAAAAAAAGTATTTCCAGTTAAAGAGTTTGGTTACTTTTTTGATTATTAGATTGTTGGGTTAAACATCATCCTATGCTAGTTACACAAGTCAGTGAACAAATCCCGTCTTCCTTTACATACTACTCAGTACTAAGGAACCCAATAAAGAAATCAGCAATTTCTGGTGGGGACTCCGTCTCCAGAGAATACATCAGGGAAACATCCCTGAACCTCAGCAAGTGTAGCTGCTAGTGTACTGTTTAACCCTGAAGGTAGCACTACTCTTTTTTTTCATTATTCTTGAAAGAAGTATAGTTAGCCCATTTTGGAGCTCATTGTCATTAATTTCTTGATTTTCCTATAGCAATTTTGTCCCAAAAATCACAGTGGGGAAGCTGTCTGTTAGCTTGAGGTCACCTTTGGTTTCCTTTGTGATTCTGGAGCTTCTGTGAGGAGAGAGAGGTGTTTCTCTGACCACTTAAAGCTAGTTCTTAAACAACTTTGAGCTCTTATGCACTGCAAGGAGCTCTCAAAGATCCTTTCAGTGACTAGCAGCACCTTTGTTGCATCTCCCCAGAGACTGAATTATTCATATATGTATAACTGCAAAGCGTTGTATAGCATAAGATGCAGAGGTTTTGTAAAAAAGACTGTTAAGTATATAACTTCGAGTTAGGTGCTTATTCTCAATTTTTCACATAGGTAATTATTCTCGATAATTATTTGTACAAACATTAAATTAAAAGTATTTCTAAATGCTAGCTATGTTGAAGCAAGAGACGTTCTCAAAAGACATGCTGCATATTGAATGTGTCTTTGTTGAGAATATTTTCAGTTTCTTTGTGTGTAAGTCTACCCATCTTCATGATCCTGTGGTGCCTGGAGGTACAGTTTAGCAAAAGCCAAGTGCAGGCTCCACCGAAACGGGCAGTTCTGGCTTGTCCCATCTGTAACGGAACATTTCTGCAGTCTCAGTTGCCAGGATCAGAAAGCTGGTCTGCCTGAAAAATAGCCCAGGAAAACAAAAATGGAAGTTGTCTGCCTGGTACAGCTGGCTAAACCATCTCATCAGTGCTAGTGCAAGAGGCAGGGGGAGGATGCTAGACTGTCTTTTCCAGCAGCAGCCCACACTAGTTTTGCCTATATGAGTCAGGAAGTCATATTCTAAGAAAGCAAATGACCAGCTTTACTTCAGATGTAAGATGCAGCTAAGATTTAAGAGATATAAGATACGAGAGAGATTTACTTGTCATTTAACAGCTTTAGGGAAAGTGCCTGGCACTGTTCCGTCGTGTTTATGTAGCTCCTGAGCGATTTACTTGTCATTTAACAGCTTTAGGGAAAGTGCCTGGCACTGTTCCGTCGTGTTTATGTAGCTCCTGAGCGATCTTTATCATTACGCTTTCTTAATCCTTCTAGGTTACTATAATGATACTTACTCTTTTAAATCTGTGATTTTTCTGTCTGCTTTCTTAGAGAGCTTTGTCTGTTTGATTTGTTTTGGTCTTAAATTGAAAGGTTGGATAGCGTTTGAAGGCAAGGCTGGAGATGGGAGCTCTCTACCTGTCACAGGGGAACAGACGAGGCTGAGATGCATCTTAGTCTGGGCAAAAGCAAATTCTAGTCTCAGTCCTGCCCTCGTGGAGGTTTGGGAGCCTGCACAGGCAAATTCCATACTTGCAGTAAATGTACACCATCTCCGGCTCTTGCTGACAGCTTCAGTCAGCTGGCACAAGAAGCTTCACAACCCGAGGCAACTTTTGATTATCCATAACTTAAATGCTTTAACATTCTGGAAATAAAGATCTGCAGCTTAAACTTGGCACAGGGCTCTGTGGGAAACCAGTGAAGCACAAGGAACAACAGAAGGCGAGGAAGTTCAGGCAGTGTAGCCAAGGAGACGTCCAGGTGCATCGCAGCTAGTTATCTGGTGCTTTTCTGGCGGAGTCTGGCAAGCCTGCGTGAGTACGTTGCTTTGCTGTTCCTCACAGGATTTAGGAGGGGAATGTAGTACCAAAGCTAAGCTGCTGCTCCTGAGAGGCCAGGGCATGTCACTCAGAGAAAATGTATTGGATTGCTGCTTGAGATCTCAGTATTTGGGCAGAATCCAGTTGTATTTTGGCTTGCAGTTTAAGTACCCAGATGTAATGTCTGTGATTACAAACTTTCTCCTTTTATCTTGTTGTGGTCTGGTATTGCTTTCGTTATCAACCAGTATCACATTAAAGGCACAGGTTTATCGAGTACATTATCAGGTGAATGACAAGTATTTTATTAGCTTGAAGTTGACGATGAAGAGTATCACAAAGTTTGTCTTTCTCTTTGGTATCTGTAAACTTTGCAGAAATTCACCTAAGCAAGATTCTGCGCAAGTAAATCTGATGGCTCAATACCGGGTTTTCCATTATTACTCTAAAGGTACTTGCTTCCAGAAAAGATCAATTAAGTGCATTTCTGTGGACCCTTGCCATGAAGATTATACTATAGTGGTATGAGTATGTCCTTATGAAAGATGGAGAGGATTGTTGCATCTAGACTTTGTGTATTGGCATTACTACAATCTCTTGTTACTTTACATTTGGAGATTGTTTACCTGGGCTTTCTTGTTTCTTCTTCTTTTGCTAAATAGACTTGGATTATCACTTGGTTTTGTCTTCAACTACTCCTACTTAATCCTCTTGTCAAAGCCCAGAGTTCCTGCGGGAATCCAGTGACAGATGATGTGAATGACATTGCAAAACTGGTAAGCAGCTTTTATTTTAAATTATTCTTTATGTTAAGCAATTATCAGTGGCTACTGGCACTTACATTTTTAAGCAAAGTTAGCAGATTTATATTAGAACCAGGGGAATACTAAAAAAATTAAAATCTATCTATCTGTCACTTCATCAAACCCAAAAACTTTATTGCAGAAGTTGGAGAATAGTTTCAGAAATCATTAAAGAGATGACCTCCTTGACCAAGCTGGAGTGTATGTGTTTTCCTCCCTCCAGACTTCCATGAAAATTGTCAAAAGTCTTGATTTCCTCAAACATTGTATGGGATCAGATTTCTTCCCATGCAGATGAAAGATTATTGTCTTTGTGTTACTGATCTGTGTGGAGCAGGCTGGTGGCAAACAGAACTGAAATGAGCCAGGAGTCTTTGTCTTAGGTATACAGGAAACTTGTACCATATATAAAAATAGTATAATATTAGACATCATAGTAGCAATCAAGGCAATAATCATTGAACAGCTCTTACAGTGTTTAAGTGTGAGTGAGCTATGCTTGTTACATATTTCTCTCTCTACTTGCTGTACCTAGAAGTTTAAGTCTGCAGGATTCACGGCTTCCTGTAAGAACTGGATTCATTTAAGTACATTTTAACTATTACTTAGCTGAACACTGCATTAACCTGAAAAACTGCATCTCCGTGTGTGAAGTCAGTTGGTACTTCACTGAAGTCAGTGATTATGCTAACTTGCAGTAGTGCAGGATCTAACACCAAAGTTTTTAAGAGGTAATATGTACTGAACACTTAACAAGCATACCTTCACCTACATATTGACTTCAGCTGAAAGTCACAGCTTCGCTGTGGAAAAACAGTTGCAATACCAGTGTTAATGTTATCAAACGCTTGATTTTGGAGTCCGTTGCATTTGCTGCCAGTGCAGTGTTCTTGACTTGTTTTCTTCAGGCATTGTTATATACATTAGCAGGTAATGTAAGTCTCTGGGGTCGCTCTGTAGTCCTACCTAAAAGCTTGGTTCTTCACATTAGTCACTTTAGGCAGAATTCCGATGTGTTGGCATGTTTATTCAAGAAAATATTTCGTCTCTTGAAATTTTGACCTGACAGAACTCCTGTAAGGGCCATTGAAATTGTCTGGTGCAGGGTTAGCAATAACTTTTTGTCAACATCGTACTTTCAGAACAAACTCTTCAACTTTCCCTTTACTCCAATTTAAACTTCAAGAATGTATAAATACAGGTTACAAAAATTTGCATGCAGCTTGAGCAATCACACTTTGCTTTTGAGATAAATTGTGAAAGAAACAATATCATAAATATTAGATTAGTCTAATTTGGCTGTGACCTCCTATGTCATGTTCATATGTCCTGATCTAGTTGAAGATGTCCCTGGTAATTGCCGGGGCTTGGACTAGATGACCTTCAAAGGTCATCTTTTCCAACACAAACTATTCTATGATTCTATGATCTTCTTCCAGACTAGCCCAGCAACTGCAGTTCTTGCACATATACCCACAGCACTATGTTCCCATACCCCCACCCTCTTCCACATTCTCTCCACATGCAGCATGGTTGCTTGTTCCCTCCCATACCCTCTAGGCATGATACCTACCTGAGCAAAGTTTTAAGCTCTTGCCGAATTTATATCTCCTTTTGCTTGGGCTGCTGGCTGGACAGGAAGGACTTTGTGTGGCGACTCTTATGGTATATGTGGTGCTTGTCCTGGAAGAAAACCTCTGCCAACTGTCCAGCTTGCTCTGCGCTTCTGCTGCTGCCAAGCCCAAGCACAGTCGGCTAGGGCTGAGTTCCTACGGCCACTCCCAAGTGAGGATGCTGTACGGTCCTTCTCCTGACTTACACCCATATCTTTCACATCTCTCTACCAAATGCAAAATTTGGGCGGAGTTAACTAACAAGTTCAAAGATATTTTGAGTTGGAGAAATAAGAGAGATGCAGAAAATACAAAGTCTGAGAATGAGACACCTGGATTATCTGTGTTTTGAGTTGTGCGTGTGAGAATGTTTCAAGGAAAATCTGTATTCCTGTTGTGTCTGTCTGTGTTAACATTTGCATAGATTTTTCAAGTGGAAATAGTTTCTATAAAGCCACTTGCAAATTGAAAGGATAACATGGAAATAAGTTTAGTATCTTAAATTTAGTGTAAGAACTCCCAGTTTTCAGTTAAACTGATTGCAAGTTGGTCATTCTCTTGAAATGTTACACCATGACAACATGACATTGAGAACAGAATTAAAAAGCCTATCTATAGTAAGATTTAACGTACTTTTAAAACAAAATATCATTAGCTGACAGTTTGTATATTAGAGGGGAGAAATACACAGGGAATACTGACTGATCAAATTACTTTGCTAAAAAGTGCAATATTTTTATGCTGTATGGAATATATCCTCAGTACATATAATATGGACTCCAACATGACATTGCTTAAACGTATAGTTCAGGCAGGGGCTATAACTCTTTGTAAATTACTATAAATGTTTCTGTACTGCTGCAGCTTTTTGAAACAAAATACACTCATTGAATTAAGGAATAACATCCTGATGACTTACATCTTCAAAATTAGTTATAGCACCCATAGGTGATTGGGTTCTTTATCGATCCTATTGGCCTTTAAAGTCTCATTTTGCCACTGATCCAAAGAGTTTGTGCCAGTAGAACACAATGTCTAATCAATGTCCTCCCCTTTCACACTGAGAACAAATTGTAGTGCTGAGGATTTCAGAGAAGCTAATGATATGTATACAGTTATTGCCCATGTTATTGTGATGTTATTTTCCAAAAAATAACTGCTGGGAGTGGTATGACAGTTGTTTCCAAAGGCTTTATTCTTGTCCACACTGGCATGTTCTTTAAACCCTTTTGTCCACAATCATGAGTATAGTCCTGTATCTGTACGTGATAAGCTTGCTGTTCAGCGCTAGTACACAAGTCCTATCATTTAGTTTAGGATATTGATGTGTCTTACTCCTATCTCATCATAAATGCTCAGACATCAGCTTAAATTCACTATGGACTGAATCCTCCACTGAAGTGGATTATGATTACTTCATCTCCCCAAAATGTTATTCTTCCCTGGGCCTTTTTTGCTCTCTATAAAGGTATATCACCATCTCTCCCCAGCTGTTCAAGTCTATAACAAAAGTGTCTATTTTGGCTCTTACCACTTCACAGACCTTGTAAGTTCACTTTTAAAGCCTCCATTGTTTTTCCTGTCATAACAGGAAAAAATGTTTTTTGTAGCTCTCTGACCATACAAATTCACTTTTCTTCCACATTCTTGGTGGATAAAAATCCAGTCTACTGAAAAGTCTTTTTCTAGCTTCAACTTCTATAATTTTGCCCTTCTGTCTGTTAATTTGTAATTCTGACCCTATATCTTCTACTCATTTCCTTCAAGCTGTTCCTCCTTTTTTTCGCGATTAATGGCAAGCTTCTTGGTTCTGCCTTTACAGGCACTAGCTATTAACACGGCCTGTGATGTCTTAACACATGCTGAGATTGCCCTCTTGTCCTAGCTTCTCCTCTTTATTTCTGTGATATCTGTTACACCGTTCATGATCACAGGAAGGATGCTCCTTGATGAACTCCAGGCAAATTCTCTTCGTATCTCATGCTAAAATTCTTTGCAGCATGAATCCATGTCCCTCTCTTTCTTTTTTCCTACTCTGTTCTTCCTTCTGCAACCTCTATTGCAGTTGACCTACAACTTGCAAAATAGCACCGCAATTCCCTACTAAACTCTTTTGCCTGTAGCTTGATACAATGTAGTCTTCGTTTATTTAGTTCTGGGCTTCTTGTTCCAAGTACTGTAAACCCCCCGACATCACTGGTAGAAAACCCCTGGGCATGGCTGCAGCTGTGTTCTGCTTGACTGTGTTGTATTCTAGGAATATGAGAGGAACATACCTCAGTCAACACTTTCTGTGAATAGCGACTAGGGATGTTTACTAAATCTAAGCTATCGGAGAATAAATAAGGCATACTGTGCAGTGCTTGAAAATGTGGGTTAAGTAATAAATTCAGGACAGATGTATGGAGTAACTTGGTTTCAGTGGTGTTAATCTGGATTTTCACTAGCATCGTACTAGACTCATACTAGATGCTAGAGTCGGAAGGAAAGAGCAGATTCAATAACAATAAGGTTTCTGAGCGTTAATCAACCTACCACCACAACAGGCTGGTATATGTTTGTACAAAAATGACTTCTGTTTTCTGTAAGATTAAATTTACTTAAATTTTTGTATTTTAATTTTGTCATATGGAGGATGTGTCCTAAGTACAACGATTTTAAAAAGCAAAGAACAGTTGAACAATCTTTTTTTTTTTAATAGCGAGAACTTTAAAAGAACATAATTTCGTACCTATAGAGAATGAAAGTGTTTAGAGAGTATTTATTCTGCATTACCAATCACTTCAACTCCTGCTTCTTTTTAATGAAGGTGTCTGGAGGGAAGCGAGTTGCTTGATGAACAAATGTTCCGTATTATGAAACTGTAATTGCAGCACCTGCCAATAAAACCTGTCCCCATTGTTCTTTTCAGCACAGTAAGTCAGCAGAAAGGTTCATTGCTGTAATTGTGACTCTGATTTTGCACAACAATTAGGAATCTGTTGTATATATGTTTGTTAAATATGAACATCAAAACTACATATAAGTTGAATTTTCTCTGAGCTGTGCAGTATTGTACCTACATACTTTGGTTTTATCCACTAACCAAGTCTAAGACATTCCTGTCCTCTTCCATGATCTACTTCTCAAAAACAACTTTTTTGTTTTGAATGTTGGAAGCCCAAACAACAGTCAGCATTTACTGACCAGGTTGCTTGTTTGAGACATGCTGTTTCAAACACTTTGCTTTCACATTGCATCTTTGCTGTAAATGTGTACTTTACACTCTCTGCAACATTTGACATTTATTTTTAAATGGATCTGACTCTCCTGTGTGAAGGGGTTATAAAAAAATCATCTAGTGTTGTTATCCTGCAAATAATCTGCCACTATGTCTGGGAGAAGTGTGAATAGAAATCGTTAGCATGTTGTCTTAAGCCACATGATGAGGATTATATTAACTGCTTCATTAGCAGATGAGATAGAGTAGATTTCAGAGATGATGGACAGAAAGTGGAAGCTCCTGCAGGAAAAGAAAAGCCAAGGATGCAAATAAGGGAGATGCAGAGGCATTAAAGAATAGGAAAGGAGAATGAGGAAGAGAGAAATGAGAGGCAGAAATGGCAGTGAAAAGGCAGGTATGGTTTTCCCATCATATGCCTCAGAGTAAAAAAATTAATCACTAACAATGGTAAATGGTAACTTTTGCTTTAAGGACTTACTTTATTTTTGATCCGTGTATAAAAAAATCATGATGTCTATGCTTGTCTCCTTAAAATTTTCAGAATAGTCACAATAAAGAGAATTTCCAAGAGCAGTAGCCCTTGTTTCAAAGCACTTGGCTGCAGAGATGGGTCATCTCATTTCTGTTCCGCTGTTGCAGTGAAACAGCGGTTTATGGAATCCAAATCACTTTTAAACATCCCTTTTGCATTCCCCTGTCTATGTGACCATGAGCATGTTTTAAAAGTATACTTGGGTTATGCAATGTTGACAGTGCTGTATTAAATATTCAGACCTCTGTATGCCAAAAGGAATCTTACATTCCCCCGTTTGAGATTTTGTTACAACTGGGAATATAGCACTTAATGTTATTTTTATATGGATTTAAAGACATAAGTCTAGGTTCCCTGTTCTTCACCTCTTCTCAGAGCTTGATAGAATTTACACAACCACTCACGCTCACTAGAGAAGAGAAGAGAAATTTTTTGTGGCATTTTAATTGCAATGTAGGGTTATTTTAGTTCTATACATTACTTTCCAAGATTATCAGTTGACGTTCTCTATAATCGTCAAAACTGTTACTTTTGTCTAAACCAAGGAAAGTCACTCAAGCAGATGTTTTGTTGCCCCCAGATTTGTCACTGTACTTAAGTTGAGTACAGGAACCAAAAAAATCACAGAATCACAGAATGGTAGGGGTTGGAAGGGACCTCTGTGGGTCATCTAGTCCAACCCTCCTGCCGAAGCAGGGTCACCTACAGTAGGCTGTAGAGGGCCTTGTCCAGGTGGGTCTTGAATGTCTCCAGAGAAGGAGACTGCACAACCTCCCTGGGCAGCCTGTTGCAGTGCTCCGTCACCCTCAGAGGGAGGAAGTTCTTCCTCATGTTGAGACGGAACTTCCTGTGCTTCAGTTTGTGCCCATTGCCCCTTGTCCTGTCGCTGGGCACTACTGAAAAGAGCTTGGCCCCATCCTCCTGACACCCACCCTTCAGATATTTGTAAGTATATATTAGGTCCCCTCGCAGCCTTCTCTTTTTCAGGCTGAACAAGCCCAGCTCACTCAGCCTTTCCTCGTAGGACAGATGTTCCAGTCCCCTCACCATCCTTGTAGCCCTCCACTGGACTCTCTCCAGCTGTTCTGGGACTTGGAACAGACCCTTTCCCATCCCCCTGTGCTCGGGCAGCTCAGAACCCGCTTGTCCTCTGCCTCTTGCAGCTTATTGTGAGCTGCAGCAGTCAGGCACCTCGCACAGAGCAGGTATACAAAGTCCTTTCGTTCCTTTCATGATCATTTCGGCAGTTGAAAAGCAAGTGGCTGGTTTTGGATCGTAGCCTTGGTGGTTAGTCTTCAACAAAATTTAAAGATTTGTTTCAGGAAAGCAAGACAGTACAAAATACACAGATTTAGTATAAACATATTCTTCACTCTTACATCAGGGGCTGTACTCTTTTTTTCTACGTGTGAGTTGGGAAGTCCAACGGGGACACAAAGATAACTCCCTCGCTTTGACTGAACTCCATCGTTTACCATCAGCAGAGCATCTGGCGTGTGGAGTTGAATCAATAAAACTTTGACAAGTTGTTTCGTCTTGAGGCAGGGCATATATTTTGTTTGACACTGTCCCTCCAAGTTATCTTCATTTTTAGTAGTAAATTCAAAAATATCTTTTCTGATTCACAGTCTGTCAAGGAGAAAAATATCTGAGGCTGAGCTGTATTCTCTGGCTTTGTTTGAGAAGCTGTAAGAGCTCTTGGGCAACTACATTTTTTTTAACTGTGCATGAAAAGTGCTTGACAGGCTCTGATGCCAGTAAAGTAGATTGTATACATAATGCATATCAATTCTTGTAGTGTTCATTGATTTGAAACAAATTTAATCTTCCAGTGACCTTTCTTTAAGAACGGTGCTTTTACTGACATGGCTGAGTATTGAGTCCCTCTAGAGTGAGTATGGGAAACTTTGCACATACAGTAGCATCTTCACTATCTTTGCTGCCTGAAGTGCTGCTGATCCTAGTTCTCTAGGCACACAAAGCAAGTGAGAAGAGAAACTGGATTACCTATTAATGTGCCATGATGTCAGGATGTTTTTAGAGGAAGGAAAAATATACAAAAAAAACATGGATGAGGATTTAGGATAAATCAGATGCTCTAAAGAAAGAACACATTTATTGCAGTATTTTTCAGTATTTTCAGTATCTTGAATCAACTCCCTAAAATACCAGGTAAATAGAAATTGATACAGAGGATTTTAGTGGCACTTTTGCAGCTGCTGCTTTGGGAATGTATGGGTGTGAAAAGAAAAAAATTCCTTTCAACAGATCATTTTTCTTATCAGGATCATTTGTATAAAACTTGCTTTTTAAAGCTATCGGAGACAGGTAGATGTCATTGAACTGAAGGATTGTGCTTCAGCCCACATTGTAAATAAAAAAAATGTTTGGAATTCACTGGTGACTGACTGTGTGTAAGTATTGTCCATGATCTTTTCTAGAACCACAACATTTTGAAATTGCAATTTTAAATTTTAATTGAAACAAAATTTTAATGAACAAATAAAACATTCTGTTGTGTCAACCAAATATTACCTAAAACCTGCACAGAAAAATAAAAATTCCTGTGCTGGTTGCTATAGCAGCAGAATCAAAAGCAGCCATAACAGAATGATCTTTAACCCTAAGTAGAAATGCTTTGCTGAACGAAGTGTAGATTCTGGTTTCCCAAATGATTTGTGTGTACTTACTGTCTTTGGACTAAATGAATTTCAAAGCAGGATGAGAAATACCAAATGAATCTTTCACTGATACAAATGAAAATGTATTTGCTGTATCGCTAAGAATCACACTGTTGGTAAACCTTTGGAAAAAAGTACTTCAAGAGAGTGGATTGTGGCGGCATCTCCCTCTTCATCTCTCCACTCAGCACATTCCCGAGATGATCAGCCACGTCTCACGGTAGTGTTGGATCCCATCTGTGGGGAATGGCATTGTATAATTCAGGAAGAACCCTTGTTCCACTCCTTGTCCTTGCTTCAGTACACCCCGTACTCACCCACATCTGCAGAGCTGCACTCAGATCTGCGGAAGCTCTCATTTGCCCCAGGACATTGCTGAGATATAATTATTAAAGATGAGTAATATAAGAGGCACAGCTTCAAAGTTGAAGTTGTGCTCAAGTTTTTCTGTCCTGGTACATTACTAAGTAGAAGGCAGGCAAGTATTTGTTTAGGTTCAAATCCTTGCTGAAGTTGAAATTTATTTTTGGGGAAAAAAAAAGGCTTAGAGACTACTGGGCCCTGTACTGTTTGGAGTGGTTGGTGTTGCATACAAACTGTCACTTAAACACTTCAAGACAATGCCATTAAAAGATGATAATGCAGTAGAGTTTCTGTAGTAAGAAATAACCTCAGATGACTTCTCACCACATTACTGACTTTAATTCTGCTGGGGAGTGGTATCATTAAACATGATCAGATCTGGGGGTGTTACAGAGGTGTGGAAAGATGCTTCACTTGTGAGCAAATAAGGGTCAGTAGCAGGTCCACAGGAAACAGTATGTAAGCTTCTACGCATGGTACGTTACTGAAAATTTGTGTTGAATATTTGATAGATTTTGTTGAATACAGCGATGTAACTTAAGTCTTACTTTGTGTAGTCAGTAATAACATTTTTATTGTCTGTTTATTGTAGGTCGGAAATCTCCCAAATGATTATATGATAACCCTTAAATATGTCCCGCAGATGGATAGTCTGGTATGTACAACCACTTCAAGTTAATCCCAACAAAATAGCCCACTGGAACCAGTGAAGGCTGTAATGTTTTATACTTAGTCCTATGGTTTAGTAAGGTACAGTTAAATAATGGTTATTTCACTTTTCATATGCTTCGCAAGTATTCATTTAAAAGAAATGTAGAGAGATTCTTGCAGTCACTTTTTAATTACAGGAATCTTAGAAAAATGTTTCTTCATATTACATTTTTTAACATTTTCTCTGAAAAAAATCAAACTACTGTATTATTTCATAATATCAATTGAAATTTTTTTCTTTTTTTAAGTAGTTTCTTTCTAATTGTACTTTGGAATTTACTGTAGAATGTCTTTCTCATTTTAACCCATGGAAATGCAATTAAGGCACAATACTGTGTAGCCAATGAAGAGAACCCTAAGTTCTCTAAGCAAATGGTAGTGTCAGTAACTAAACAAACTGGTAGAAAGTGAGCACATTATTTTATTCAAATTCTTTCTGTATAATCCAATAGTTAACACATAGTCATACTTTCAAAGAAGCATCATCTACTGTCTTTTAATACAAAATGTTATAAAATTTTAAACTTTGTCGTATTATCTTATTGCTTATTCTACTAAATATTTCAATGCTTTTCCTTAACTTAAAAAAACATATCTTTAAGAACAATACATTGGAAATGCTCTCTTGGTTGTTGCATACACTGCAAAAAAAAGAGAGAAGGAAAAAGGTGAATGTTATAATGTATTATATTTTTTTAAGGAAAAAAAGTAAGAAAAAGACTAGTTTGTCAGTTAAATTGAACAATATTGTGCATGTCATTAAGTACACATACATCAGTACCTGGAAATCATCTGGTAGATCTAAGAAGCTGTGTTTGTGTCTGTACAAAGTTTTCATTATGAGATCCAATCTATATATATCATATCAAAATGAATCCTATTTGTCATGCTTTAACCCAGCCACTAGGACTTCAAAGCTCCTCACTCGCTTCTCTCTTCCCCCACCAGTGGGATGGTGAGGAGAATGGACAAAAAGTGAAATGTGGGTTGACACAAAGACAGTTTAACAAGACAACTAAGGAAATAATAATGACCACCACAATAGCGATAATGAATATACAAAACAAGCTATACACAATACAATTTTTCTTATTGCCAGACAACTGATTGCACAAGCAGTCCCCAAGCAGCAATCGTGGATTTCACAGAACTCGCGGATTTTGCAGCGATCACAGATTTTGCTGAACTTGCAAAAGAGTTCAAACTCACGGAAAAAGGGTCAAACTCCTGAAGAGTTCCTGCTCTGCAGCCAACCCCATTTATAAACTGAGCATGGCATCTATGGTATGGAATATTTCCATTGGCCACTTTTAGCTGGCTGGCTGTGCTCCCTACCAGCTCTTGTACACCTGCTCATTAGCTGAACATGGGAAACTGGAAGAAGTCTTTGGTTTCTTAGCAACAACTAAAAATTGTATCATCATTCTTGTTGTATTGTCATTCTTCTCATACAAAATCCAAAACACAGCAGCAGGTACTGGGAAGAAGATGAACTCTAACCAGGACACTATCCTGCAAAATGGCAGCAAATCTAGCAATATTCCTTCTTGATAGAGAACAATGCCAAAAGCAACATTCTGTCCGAAGAACGCGAATTAAGATGGCTGGAGGAAGGGGAGACTGTGGGATAGTGAAGGGCCCTAAGCTGTGAGGCCATGAGGTATTATAGCTGATCTGGCAGTGTTCTTACAGGTTTTGTTGGATGCTTGAAGCTTTTACTAAAACTTGGAGCACTTTAGAAAATCTAGTTTTTACTTTCTAAGGAATCAAGTTTAACTCTGCAGAACAAATGCTGTGGAAGTCAGGTATGAGATCCTGTGTGATATAATTAAAACTAATGGAAAAATTTCCATTTCTGGAAATAGCCAATAGCCAGGGACAAAGGAAGTGAGACTGGCTGCTACCATCCTCTGGTTGTGGTGCTTTTTGAAAGTCGACGATTTTGATGCCTGATGTGATGAAATTCATGTTTGTGGAGAACTGCTGTAGCCCAAGAGCTACTCCCCAGCCACTGGGATGAGCACAGCAGCTGATGGGTGAGAGCCGGGCTGGATCAAGGCCATTCCCTCCCCTGCCCTCCTCGGGACGTTGGCACTGCAGATGAAGAAGGCCAGGGAGCCTGCTTCAGCGATGAGTTCTGGTCGTTCTCACTGCTAGCTCTTACCTCGCTCTCTGGTTCAGTTTTGGCTGCCAGTACACAGTTTCTTTTAGTTTAAATGCCATGTCATCTTGCTGCATCACATCCAGAAACCTAGATCCAGTTTACATTTACAATGAGCAGCCAAGAAATAAATAGGAAGAAGAGCTGTTCAGAGCTGGGATTTCCGTATTCCATTTGCTCTTATGCCACTTTCAGTCATGGTGTTGGAAGGTGCAGCTCTTGGCCACATGCCTGCGCAGGAGGAAATATTCAGCAGTATTCACATCCCACTTTGCCAAATTCCTCTCTGGGCATTTCAGGTTGTGTTATGCATACCACAGCAAAGGCTGGCTGAATAAGTAGGTTTTACTCTGGGTTCCTCAAGGTCCCTGCAAGCTGGGAAACCCATGGCTTTGCATAAGGGGACTGTCCTTTTTCAGCTCTGAAGGTATTGAAACAGTGCTCTGCAATTCTTTTTCATTAGATTTCAATCTTCAGTGCATGCATAAAGTGGGAAATGTACCCAAGGTAGCAAGTCTCAAATGTAGATGACTAAAGGTAGGAAATCGGGGTGAATGCAAAGCAGATGGGAAGCCAGTGTAGTGCACGTAACAGGAACAGACTGACCCGATCCATTAAACAGAACAGTTGTTGCATTATGCACTAGCTCAAGGCTTCTGAGTAGCTTTAAAAGTCGTCTCGCATAGTGAACTGTGTAGCCAAACCTGAAGGTTAAAAGGCAAAGATGACAGCAGCAAGGGCTGAACTCAGAAGAGGAGATAAACTTTAAACTTTTAGATAGGCGTAGAAAGAAAAAGCTAAATGTGGACTACCTGGAAACAGAAGGGAAGTCAAACTTGCAATTGCCCTGAAATGCAAATCTTGGTCAAAGTTTAAACAAAAAAGCAGAGTTAAAACTCCATTTCTCCTTGGAAACAACATCACATTTCTCAGTTTCAGCAGTTTCATCCGTATGTTTGGTAGGTACTGAGATAGCAAGTGATTGCACAGCTTGAGACTACTGAAAAGAAAACTTTAAGCTCTTGTGAAATACAGCTTTGTAGGCCAGAACGGTTCAGTCAGAGGAGACTCCCACGCACATGCTAAGCCGCAGGAGCAATAAAATAGATTCCCTGCTGGAATCGCCAAATGCTCTCTAGGAGAAGCGGCAAGCTTTTGCTAGTCCCTGCCAGAGGAGGTACACCCACAAAACCTCAAAGGGTTTCCAGGTTTGCAGTTCAGTGAAGCACAGAAATTCTGTGTCCATGTTCCTACACCAAAGCAGAGCAAAGGGCACACTGTCTCATGAGGGCAGTGGGACATGGCACCACGCATGCTGCTTGAACAGAGTACATTTCAGCGAGCTTCCTCTGATTTATTTGCTTCTGCTTCTCTTCTCCCATTGCTGTGCTTGAAGGAAAAGAGAAGCAGAATCAAGCCAAATGCTATCCTTTTCACATTTTGTTTCATTTTTTTTAAAATTATTGTCAAGATAATTACAGGAGGTTATGATACTGACTTGCCACTTGAGAGAGTTGTCCACAAAAGTGATAAGTCAGGTGGAGCTGAACAGTGCGTTCACATTTGGTTCTCTGTGCCTGGAAGCCCAAAGATCTGATTAGTCTTCAAAAGTGTGGAGTGGGTTTTTCCTCATCAAAAACATTTACACATCAAGGCATAACAACACCTGTGTCACTGAGAAAGGGATTTGTCACCAAGTGATGATATTGATAGTAGTGGATAAATTTTTTTTGAATAAAGAATCTGTATACAGGTTTATTGCAGAAATTGAGTAAAATTAGATTAAATCCAGAAGCAGATACATTGCCAAACATTTACAGCGTGTTGCAGAAGGTGGAGTGGATGGATTCATTGGATGCCCATCCAATGGGCAGCAATTGGAAACTGTTTTAGTGATACTGAGAGTACTTAAGGATTGCTGGGCCAATATCTTTGTATCTGGCAGGCTTTAATGATCCTGAGACATTTTCAACCACTGAAAAAGTAGCTTCAAGTATGGAATAAATTTCTATAACATTTACCATTAAAAATTCAGCATTTATTGGGAAGGGATTTACAGGTACATGTTGCAGTGTGACTAATGTATTTTGTGTATTTTTGGTAACCATATTGAGTTAGGGTTTTTCCTGGACTGGGTGGCTTTTCTGTTTATTTGACTACTGTACGTGAATCTAAGTAAAAGAAGTTAATGACTCCCTGTAAGGCAGCAAGATGAATGACCAGTTTTCAGTCACATGGACAGCTGTACAAACTTTATCTGAAAACTAGTTGCATAGGTGTTGGTGAAAGGACTTGAACTCTATTCCAGTGGCACAGATGTGGCAGATACTGCAACAGGCTGTGCAGAGCCCTTATGTCGCTTAAAACTCAGGAAAAGAAAGATCTTTAGATCTAGAAGCTGTTCTCAGGAATGGCATTTAGTGAAAAAGCTGAAGAGAAGTAGTTAACTAAGCTTAAAGGTGGATAAAAGAACACATGGATTTCATGCATAACGTTTGCAGAAACCTTTGTCAGAAAAGAGTTAAATCAAAGGTCTTTGAGGTTAACTGAGTCATGTAGGGTAACAATAATAAAATGAAAATTGAGATTTGTTTAAAGAAAGTCTGGAGAAAATTGTTGAAGCTGTTATTTAAAAAAAATAAACATGTTAATGGAAAGGATGGAAGAGTCCATAGTAGTATATCGCAAGGCTCAAATTCTCAACAGACTGATGCTTAGCATTCATTAAGAACTGAATGGAGGGACAGCATGTAACAGACAACCACAAATATGTCAGTATCAGTGAGAATAGGAATTTTACCAAGAGGACTAAGGAGAAAGTTGGCCATGCTAAAGAAGACAAATTTTAATTTAGACTTTCAAGGTAATTTACATTGGAAAGAACGATCTAATCTACTTTTGCACATTGAACTACCTAACCAGTTTTTTCAAAAGTCTGATGTTTAATCTACCTCTCTGTTTCTCTTTTTATCCCCTGACAGCCTAATCACTGTTGGTTGCATTTGATGGTGCCTGAATTCTCAAGGAGTCTACATAGTCTTCTCCAGAAATTTTCAGATATTTCAGATATGTCTGATGTTTTAAGCAACTATTCAATCATCAATAATCTCACAAGGATAATTAATGATCTTATGGCATGCCTAGCTTTTGATAAAAATAAGGTAATCATACAGATTTTCTACTTTTATGCTGAATATTTTTATTTGAATATTCTGTTGCACAGTACTCAGCAACAGTTTAAAAATGTCCAAAGCTTCATTAGATTTGTTCTCATTTCTATTCCTGTACATCTGAAATCCTACTTTGTTTAGAAATTAACTGAGTACACTGTGCTAACGTTGGCTAGTCATTATCTCATGTTTCAAAGAAAAATGGCTTACAAGGAATTACAGTATATACAATGACCTGTATGCAGTTATTTAAGTAGTCAAAAATGTAACCATCATCTTTAAGATAATTAATTCATTCTGGTCTGTTTGAAACTGGCAGAAATCTTCCTTATGCATCCAGCTTAAATTATTCATTTTGCTAGTGATCCTAGTATAAATCTAAAGATGATGTGGTTGAAGCTATTAAAATACTCTTAGTATGTATCGCAGTGTGTGAAGCTCTGAAAGCTTCACCATGATTTAAAGAACTTTTTTATACAAAGACACAACAAAAACTAGATGATATCGGCCCATTTCCATGTGTTTCTGGATTCCAGCAGCAGCTGGAAGGATTCCAGAAGTCTCACTCAAGAGATGTCTGATTCTCTTGTGTGGAAATGGTGGAGGGTGTGTGGGTGAATTAACTTTCTAATCCTTTACCCAGCTCTAACCAGTCTATCAGTAATTAAAAATAAGTTTTGTAGTTGAAGCTTTTGTCCCACTGAACAAAATGGGCAAAATCTATCATGCTCTTTAGGGTAAGGGTTTCATATTCCATATACGTTTATTTTTGTCAAGAAAGTCCTTAGCTGTTGTAATTGCACCTCTTAAACATCCAGAATGAATCAAATGGACTAAAACACTCAATCTCATTTAGAGTGGCATATCCATGTCATGTATTGGTGTTATATTGCTGGGAGTATTTAGACATTCCCTAGATTTCCACTTCTGTCCAATCTTCAGTATATCTCCTTTTTTGGGTGGGGTGTTTTTTTTTCTCTCTTCTTGTCCTGATGATTCAAACTACTCAGCTGGGATGTGGTTGGGGAAGAGGAATTTTATTTTGTAGAATGAAGAAATAAATATCCTGTAATTCAGAGAAACAACTAGCTATTGATTTCCTCAGAAGAATGATCTTAGGTCTAGTACTTTCAGCATTAAAAATAAAATAATTTTGGAGACACAACTAGGAAGTTTTCCTTAGTACCTATTTAACCCATATTGTTACTGCTGTCCTCCTTCTTAGTACAGAGTAGCCCCAGGCCAGATTCAACCTGTTGGCATAAGAAACCATTGTAGTGAAAGCCAGAGTCAGGTAAAAAGAAAAAAAGGTGATAACCATCAATGGTATTAACATGGAGTCCAATCTTGTTGTTTAGGCTGGCATAACACACTTGTCTGGTAAACCTCAGAGCTTCCTTGTTTATAGCCCTGCTCTTATTTTTAGGTACACTATCAGGGATCTGAGCCTGCTTCTGTGCGGTAGTGTATCCTAGCTATTGTACTGTGTTCCTTGTACTCTTATGACAATAGCTATGATTGTGTTGTGTTCCTGTGTTCAGATTAAAAGGATCGTGTGGAACATTGCAAGGCAATGTGAAATCAAGGTAATTTTTTTAATGTGGTGGAAAAAAAAGTTTCTTCATTTTCAGTGTAGGATGGGAGACTGCTTTTCATTCCTTGGCAATTTTACAACACTGGATTAATAAATTACTTCTGTTTGCCAAGCTAATTCAAACTTCTCAGATCAGAGGGCTTGTAAGTTTTACGAAGATTGTATACAGCAAATTTGGTCTTCTACAGGTTAAAAATAAAAACTATTTTGTGTCATTTTTGGATTTTTGTATCATCTGTTGAGGTGCTGAGGTGAGCATCTCTCTTGACCTTCTTTCAAGTTGAATTCTATATTTTATCCTAGAATTTTGTAAAAGAAAATGGTCACCTTTATGAAGAGGGCCACTTCATCCCCGAGGATTTTTTTAGGCAATTTAACAGTACCATTGAGGTCTACAAGGAGTTTGCAGACACGTTGGATAAGAATGACTGCATTCTGCCTTCAACAGTAGCAACACCAGGGAATGGTAAGATGGCTCTCATTTTGGGAAACGGAATCTAAGTAGATATGAATGGATGATTTTCCTTTGACTTCAGAGATACTAAGGATCTGATGCTGTACCTCCATGTCTCCCTTTTACTGCCAGTTAAATTTACTACCAACACTGAAGCTTGTGTTTCTGTTCTAAGTCAAGTTTTATCTGGCAGTAAAACTAGTGCCATCATTCCTAGCGACATCATTCCTTAATATAATCCAAATAACCTCACAATACTCTGCCCTGTTTCTTTTCGTCCCAAATATCCTGGATTGTCTGCTTATGTTGTTCTTCTCATCTTCTATTAATGCTCCATTTAATTTTTGTAAGGCAGTAAAGGAGCCTAAGACTGCACTACTGAAGGGATCAGAAGCTAGGACAGATTGTAAATTGCAGCAGCCTCAAGTCACCTCCATGTTCATGCTACCCCTCCTGAAAAGGGCTGTATTTACTTCATTTAAAAATTTTAGCAAGCTGAAGTCAGGCTCCTGCAGTTGATTATCGTCCTTCCAGTAGATGGAGGTTTTGTATTCTCTTTTCTTTTACCCTCTCTTGTGACAGCTGTTGGCTTTTTAATTAGGGCAACGTATCTAGTTGCACAGTTACACCGCTAGTAACTAGAAGCAGATCAGCGCCATAACTTAAGAACTTGTTTAAAGCAATTGCCTTTCCAGAATAGCTATTAAGCAGCAGCTCAGTGTGTAGTCCCTTCTGCCTCTGAATAAGACTGCCTTTTTTGGCTTAATCCACTTCATAAACAGCCCTTGAGCCAGATTTTTAAAACAGCCCTATAGCCACATCAGAGTAGCCCGACAGCCCATCATCTTATATAGAGAGAACTGTATTTTAAATTACATAATGCTGACACACTCGTTTTCTATTTAGATTCCAGAGTTGCTGTCACAAAAACATTTTTGTTTCCTCCGGTTGCTGCCAGCTCCCTTAGAAATGACAGCATTGGCAGTAATACTAGCAGTAACAGTAAGTACAACTGATTGAATTAATATACGTGTCTCCATTTTGTTCTGGTAGCTGGTTGTTACAAGAGCTCAGAGAAAAAGAATGTCATTAATTGTGTAAATTAATGGGAAGTTACTTGTGCCTGATGGTGTACCATGTGTTTCTCTGCTGTCATACTGAAGTGCAATGAACTTGTCTAATAAGAATTCAGAGATGCTATCAAGTTACAATGATGTGACAGCTCTCTACAACTTGGAGAGGGCAGATCTCTTCTCTTTGGCTGTCGTGAGGTCTCACTAGTCGTATGGCCTCAGCAAACTTTGCTGTCCCAGACACCTCATTTTGACTCTCAGAAAATGAAGTTACTCTTAACAAACAGAATAGCTGTCCTAAATGAGGCCCAGGGTACTCATGTGGACAAAGAGGTTGCCTGTACATTGCATTTTGAGAGTACTGTCAATCCCAAGCTTGACACCAAACCTGAAGACGGTCCCCGTGTTTGCTTGCTGTAGTCGCAGTAGGGTCAGCTCCACAGTCAGCTTGCTTTTGGTTGAGGTCAAGTACAAAGTCACTCCACTTTTGGCAGGCTGTAATCTCTTCTCTGGCATTGCCATCTCTCTGTTTGTCATCTGTCTTGGTCAGGTATTATGTGACTGGTCACTGACAGATAAGAGAGCCTGGAACTGTTGCTCTAAGAACCTCAACATTACTCATCACAAGGTCAGAAGGGGTGTAGGAATTTGAGGCGAAGAGAAACAGCAAAGTTTCAGGGGCTTTTAGTGACATCATGCACAACAAGGTGAACACTCTCTGGAGCTTTCTATGTGAACAAAAGAAGGGGATTTTCCGTAGAGGTTCCTAAAAGGGTGATTAAAGTTTAACCATGTTGGTTTTTCCCTTGTTCCTGTTTCCTGGACGCATCAGGATGACAATGTGTATCTGTTTTACAATTTCCCCCTTTCACTTCACAACCATCCATGTTATCTAAATGTGTAATGATGAAGCGTGTGGCTGGTACGCCTTGTGCTTGAGAAAACATGGGCAAGGAGGCAGCCTGATGTAGCGTGGTGGGCATGATGGTAGCTCCTGATGATGGGACAGATACTACTAAGATTGAGTTTCTTCTCATGCTCCTCTTGGGAATGTGTAATCTAGTTATTCTCTGGGGTTTTAATCATGATGCATGCTACCTCTTAGTTGGCTAACAGCTGCTGTCAGATTTGAAGCCCTTCCTTATTGCTTTCTAATTAAGAGAAGGTCTTAAGTCGTCATTGCCCAGAACCCTCTGAGTAGACGGTTGGAACAAAAACCATGTTCAACTCCTGGCTGCCAGCCTGCCTCTCTGGAAAAGAGAAGCCTCACTGCTATAAATTCCTTGCCAAGAGGTCACAGAGCTGGCTGCAGATAACCTGATAAGCCCAGGGCCAATTATGAGGCACCAGGAGGGAGCAAGAGTGCATACCTGTCTCTCCCAGGTCTGAACATGCAATAATTTTAGCTGTCGCTGCTAGAGGAAGAATATTCAGCTGCAGCCTGAAGCAATGAGAATGGATCACAGAGCCAAAAGAAAGGCAGATACATTACAGGAGCAGTTCAGATGAAAGGATTTTGACCCAGTACAGTAGTGGGAGGGATGCCGGGCAGTGCAGTGAAGTGTGGCACCTGTCTCTATACTGTGGAGGGGAGTGCAGAAGCAGGTTTATTAATCTTGTTTTATAGCTGGAACTGATAAACAAGTAAGAAAAAAGTCTAATTGAAATAATGCAGTAAGTCTAAGAAATTGCTTGGCTGGCCGTATGTTCTACAGGTGTGTTTTAAGTGATTATCATTCCCTTAAGTAGTTTATTGGAAAACTGGATATCAGTTAACAGCCTTATGTAGAAATGACATGAGGACTGCATGTCTGGGGCTGGGGACAGTTTGAACTCCTAATCAGAGTAAATTACATTAACTTGCACAATAGATGCTGACTGGCTACACTTTAGTTACTCGTTTAGAGTTTCTTGCGGGGAGGGACCTGTGGCGTATTTGTTGGCATCTCTGTCTTATTCCCTGAAAATGGTCTTCAGTACTGATTTTGGTTTGGTCTTGGCTTTATTGCCGAGTAAGTTTTCTTTTTTATTTAATCCCTACCTTCTTGAAAGGCACAACAGTGAATAAACATTATTACTTCCCATGTGAAGACTCTCCAGTGCAGGGGACCCTGTCTGCTGGCTTCAGTGCTGCTCTCAGAACAGCACCACTAGATTCAAATTTCAAAAAGGAAAACATTTGGAGAAGAGGGGAAGCCTGAAAAAAGCATCTCTAGACACAAACTACTGCAATATTTTTTTTTATGACACTCTTTAATTTTAAACAGTTTTTGAGCTATTTAAAATTAATGGTTTCCAGACCATTCTAGGCCATTTTCTAGATTCACTGTTTGCAAAAGAACACCTCCAGATTAATAATAAATTTTGAATCTATTAATAAAGTCTGTGTAGTCAGATGACTTGAACTGTTCTTAATTCTAAATTAAACTTAGACAAACCTGAAGTGCATCATCTAATAAAATCATTTGTGAAATAACTAACTTGAAATAATTAATTTGTATGTAAATTAGCTAAATTATTTGTTTGCATGTTGTTGCTACATTTGAGTCATATTTCACTACTTCCATGTTATTACATAACAATAAAATTAAACTATTACAATAAAGTGGAATCTTAACTAAATCTACACCAAAATTCTTACCCAACAAAGTGTAAAATGGAACAATTATCATGTTCTAATTTTTTCTTAAATGGCAGTAGTGCTGGTTTTGTCCTTATAGTACTAAATGTAGATCTGTGGCATGTTCCCACTCCATCTTTTCCACCATAAAATTCTCAAAACACCACCACCATGCCCCCCCAATTGATTTAGGCTGATTTATTTTCTTTTATTTGTGTTACATAACTGTAGTCCAATTTAAATTCCAATTAACTCTTGAAGTCCCAGTCTCACTGATATTTCTCTGCATCATTATACCATGCATAATCTAGAGAATTCAGTGAGGTGGTTGCTGTGTGAAGAACAAGTGTCAGGATAAGAAGACTTGAGTCCTGATCTCTGCTTTCAGTGGTTGAACCAAACAATAAATAGTAATCTTTTCTTTTTTTTTTTTTTTCCCCATCAGATGAATCTCGTGTTGTTCTGATTAAAGCTTGAATTTACTAGCTGTTACTACCACTTCTCACTGACTTTAGTGCCATGTTATTGTTTATATTCTCATGGAAAGTTCAGTGTTGCTTTCTTCAATTTTCACCTATAATTTCCTCACAATAATTTAGCTTTATTATTCAGTACTGAACAGCTCAAAGAACATGTAAATATAGAGATCTCTAACTGTTTTAGGAAGAAGGTCTATTTTTATAATTAAGCAAAGAATACCATAGTTTAATCCAGTAATTGCACAATGATTTGAAAATGTTCATTGATGGCCTAGTGCAATTGGTGTTGCCTTCTGTGCCTTTGTTCCAACTTTATAGTTAATGGAAAACCCTAATGAACAGGTGAGAGCTGCTCTGCATTTTTATAGATAAGGTCTTGTGGTAACTGCGTTGGAGCTGAGCAGAGGTAACCTGAAAATTTTTGAGACATACATGGCAAAAAAATCGAGCCAGTGCTTTGAAGCTTAATTGGCTGCTAAACCTACATACATGGCTCAAGGTGTAGAGCAGTTCAATAATTTCATTTTGTCACTGAGTGGCTTTTAATGTATATATATTTGGTTTGCAGCTTAATATTCCAGTGTTCATGAAGACTGTATGTAAATCTACATCAGTTGAGCTCACTTCCTAAGGGTTTCTTCCATAACATGCAGAATGAGAGCTCTGAGAGGTGCTGGCCTGCTTCCACTCCCCTTTTGCACCTTGCTGGATAGAGTATTTTAAGTGAATAATATTACTAACTGCAAAGCCAGCAGTTTCTCTGGCATTGCCCAAGGAGTTCACAAAGTTACTGACACACCTGGTTTCTCCTATTCCTTCTCCTGCTCTGCCTTTACAACTGCTGGGAGTGGGAGTGTTTCTGTGTAAATCTCTGAAGTTTCTAACAGAGGAAAAGGTCTCTATGGAAGGAATAAAAACCTATTGACAGCCAGCTTGCTTTCCTTATCTCCTTTTTCTTCATTAGGATGCAGGTCCCCGGGAGGGTCTCCAGACTGAAAATTCTCCAACCTCTTCTGTTTGAGATGTTAGTATAAATAAAGGGCATGTGAAGAAACCTGCCATGACTCATTTCATTCTCTCCAGATCTTTCAAGAGACTTTTGTCTGGACTTGAATGTGAAATTAAATAATCAGTTGTTGTTTGCTTTTTAAGGTAGTTATGGGTTACTTAACTTTCAAATTAATTCATACACTATCAAGTTATGAAAAAAAAAAATCTGTTGTCATTTTTAAAAGGTAGGCTGGGGAGGGTGTCAAAATTTTACTGTACTTAAGCTCTGTCCCTGGGTTGCAGGTCCCCACATGGAAAGCTAATTATGAATTTCTTTCAGTTTTATACAGATGCTAAAGAAAGTATCTGCATTGAAGAAATCTTGGAAATCAGATTTTTCGACTTTTAGATACCTCATTGTGAAGGGAGTTCTTCTGTTGTCTAAGACTCTCTAAAGTTTGTGAAAAATAATGATAAAAGTGAGGGTGCTAGATTATCACTGATCACCCTGCATATAGCACACTTCTCTGGAAGTTCATGTAAAAATCAGCATGCTTGCTATGACATGCTGCCCAGTATTGCAGAGTAGGCAGAGGATTTTTGAGGTTATGCACTCTACCATAACATGCTATCAAAGCAATTATGCTCTATATGACCTGAAGACTTTTTCCTTTGATTTTTATTTCACTCTTCCATTTTTTTTAAGTTTGCAGGGCAGAATCCAGACAACATGGCCATCCCCATAGGATCTACATAATTCAGTTGTGTAACTCAGCAGTCTCTCACTGGGAAGAATGGCTAATGGTATTAGGCAAATCAGTGTTGCATTTTTCTTGACCAGAACACAAGAGTAATATAGGAATTTTCTTCTGAGAATACAATTCACATAAAGTAATAAGAGGAAAAATTTTTTTGAGATGCTCAGACTGACTCTAGTTTGTCCAGATTTCTTGAAGGTCTGTTCTGCAAGCAAATCTCCTCTATGCCTAATCTGGGACCGACAGTTTGAGAAAAGATTTGCCCTCCAGTTATTTTCTGCTCTTGATTTTAATGTCTGAGCAGAGAGAGGCAGACTAATTGATAGCCTCTCTTTTTCAGCTGATGTTCGCCTCTGTAGAGCTTTGTCTGCTATCTTTCCCTTCTCCTCTGTAGACAGATTTCTTTCATGGTAAGCTAGCAATAATTTTGCTTGACCGGTATTTCCTTTTAGTATGCTGAGTCTAGCAGATGTAAGTAAAATTCAAGCCCCTATAGTCAGAACCTAGAGTTTTTAAACAGTGTATGAAATACAGAGATATATCTAGTTATATGAGTATATAAGATACAGACTTTTTTCTTACTTTTTAGTTCTGTCTACTGTGATGCTAGAAAACATAACTGAATTTCAGAGATAAAAAGACTTTCTGTATAAACTTGCAAAATGTAAACCAGAAAATCTCAGAGTTGAAAATGAGTTGCTAGTTAATAATGTGAATGCTCCTTTCTAAACTAGTGTTTTCTTAAAGGCTGTTTAATAATGTACTAAATGCACATTGCTTGACCCAGTATGTCATACTGTACATGCTTAAGCATTTGTTGTTTGCATTAGTCACACAAATTTCTAGTGCTACCAGTCTATTTTCATCTCTGTATCTAATCACCTACACTTTTCCAGTGCTTAGTTTGGTTCTTTTCCTGTACTCTGACAATGTACCCACCATTCAAGCTGCAGACACCAAATCTTGACATGAACCAAAACTGGGTGGTTGGTGTCTAAACTAGCAGTCTCCTGTGGCTCACTTTGCAATTCAGAAGGTGGATCCCAGGGCAACTTTTCATATCCTGCTCTTGATTAAGTAACTGGAGGGCCACATTTTAGTCTCAGCATGTGTGCACCTCCTTGTGAGGTGAATGGAGTTACTTGTGTACATAAAAGACTAGGATTGGGGCTCTTCCATATAAAATGTAAAAACCTATCAAGAAATGGTAGCAGAAAAATAACACACAGCTAGACTTCAAGGTACAAGGGTTTGATCTTACTGAAGTCAGCGTGACCTTTCCAGACAGACATTAGAAGTGAAGTCAGGCTTATTTTGTTAAATTAACCTCCCTCAAGAGGCCTCATTTTGGTCATTCATTAGCGGCAAGGCAAAGTGTCTGTCTGCAGTTGGTGGGATGTGTCTGATGGAACTTCAGTAAATGCAAAAAGTGACAGATATATTGTCTTCCAAAGAATTATTTATGTTACAAAATAAGACCTTTAAAAATTGAAAAACACCAAACTTTCTCTACAAATGACAAAGAGAACTAGCATTGGAACTGTTCAACACAGCTGTTTCAGAAATTGGAGGAGCATCCTTGTGGTCAAAAATTTCCTGTGAGCTTTTGTATGAAGTGCACTTCATGTACACAATACCTGTTCTGCTATTTAAGATGCTGTTATCTAAGTGGTGCATAGAAGTGCTCTTGCGAATAATGTTGCCATGAAGATAGTTTTCTGTTATAAATCTGTGTTCACTAATGAGAACATCTGTAATTACAGAAGAAGCACTTGGCTTCATTAGCAGCTCCAGCCTGCAAGGGATCAGCATAGCACTGACATCATTGCTATCTCTTCTAATTGGCTTTATTCTGGGAGCTATATACTGGAAGGTAAGAAATATTGCATTTAATTGTTTGCATAGTGGTATTACATTTCTTAGCTATGGGGAGGCAGGAAGAACAGAACCATTCTGCATTAGAAAGCAAGGCACATCTCTTTTGATCTTCTCTGACCTATGTGACACACAAATGTAAATATGTTGTCAAATTCTTGAATTCCACAAAGTGCAAATTCTGTCTTACCAGCATGATAGCTGGGTAACTGGAAATTAAAAACATGGGATTCCCCCAATTTCCCAATTCTTCTCTTATACGTTGAGAAGAGGATTCTTTTGGTTTTGCCCCTTGTGCCCCTGCTTACAATACAAAGGCTTTGAAAATAAAATTATACCAGCAGCAGATGTATGTTAGAGGGCAAGATTTGGCCTATATTTTGCTAGGTGACTTTGATATTGAAAATCTGAAGCAAACTGAAACATACAATTGTTCAGGGAGTTGTTAAAGAAAGCTTTAGAATATTTATATTTAATGCATTTTCTTCCTAGAAAACACATCCCAAATCCAGATCAGAAAGTGGTGAAACTACACAGTGTCGTGACTGTCAAGAGGAAAATGAGATAAGGTATATGGTTTCACTTTATGTATGTACATACAAATCTAAGCTTATCTTTGACAGCTACTTCCTGAAGGTTGCTCTCTAGCCCTAAGACAAACACAAAAAAGCCCTAACACAAGGTCTTACTGCAGAGGTAAAATGTGTGCTTGGGGTGTGTCCTTTAGAAGCTTCTAGTTGAAATGTAAAAATTGATATGGAGGAGATTTCTGTATACAAAATTTTATGAAGGGGACATTACCTTTACATTATCTGTCCTTACTCCCACTGTGAGAAAGGATTGCTGACACCTATAGTGGAAGCAACAAAAAAAAGTGAATTTTGTTATTTGCTGTGCGGTGTATAGCTAGGTTGATATTATGTAAATAAACAGAAAACAGTGTTTTCCTGGCTGTGCTCCTAAATCCTTCTAAATATTTTTCACATTAACATTTTTTATGTTCCTTCACTTTTTTGCATTCCCCAGGCATAGTGTATATAAGCATCTATGTTTTCCGGGTGTTTTTGATGTTCATAGAAAGTTAATGAGAGCTCATTCAAATTCTGATAAATTCCTAGGTTTGTCCTGAAATGATTCACAGCTCTGTTCATGCTTAAACACTGCTTTGTCTGATTTTTAAACAGAAAAAATTCTGTGTAACTCGGTCAACCAAATATACCTTAGAATTAACAGCTGAAGACATTCAAAGCTGCTTGGGCATGACTTGGACAAAGAAGTCTATGAAATTCATAAAAGGGCTTAGAGATATTTTAATTTAGAATAGTTCATGCTAAAGCACTTTGAGAGTATTGTTCAACCTCATATTTCAGGGTGTTTGGTCAAATTTTAACTGTGAGTTCAGGGAAAGATGTGATGCAGGTGGCAGGAGAACACACCTTATCCCGTAGGCTGCTCACGCTGTGCGCAATGCCTGGTGCTACCCACTGTTGAAGGCAGGAACAGGTGAGGTTCTGATGTAGCGGTTTGCTCACAGGAGCTGACTTTTTCAGTGTTTAAACCTTCTAGAATTAAAACAAAATTTCTTCATGTACAGTACATAGAATGGAAGACTTTGTATTCATCAAGTATATTAGTTGCTACAAATAACTCATCCTGCACCTCATCCTTGCAGGTATTAAAACTTGTGAAAGGGAATATGCATCTTCCTTTTAACTTCAAAGGAAATATGAAACATTGCTTTATAGGAAGAAATGCAGAAAGGGGAAACAATTAGTTAAATTCAAGAGATGGCCTTGACCAGAAATTTAAACAGGTTACGTTCTCCATCAGATGTCTTCTTAAATATATGATGTGTTTTTTTTTTTCTTCGCTCCTTCCTGAGAAATTTGTAATATTCATCTATAACTAGGAAGACATAATAGCAAACAATAATTCTGATACTTTGGGTTTCCTTTTATTGTAACTAACTGGTAAACCCTTCCATTTTCTTTCCTTGAAACACTAGCGTTGTAGTAACAGAGTACCTTTTTTTTCCTCAGTATGTTGCAGCAAAAAGAAAAGGAACATCTACAAGTGTAGCTGTTGTTTTTTCTCCCTCAACACTGTTACTGTTTCATGTACTGGTAAGTTGTTACAGTGGAGAGTCTTACTATAGGCTTAATAACTTTTGGCTGTTGAAATATGAAGTGATTCAGAGTCCATTTTGGGAAAAAAATAGAACAAAACTTGTTACCAGTAGGCTTCATTTGTACCCAAGATCTTTAGCAGCTAATGTAATTAATCATGTATCATTAATTTAGGCATTTGATTTTTAACCTGAATGTTACAAAATTAAATGTGCCGAAATTCCAAAATGAAGGACAGCTACGGCTGCTCCTTTTTGGCATGAGAACGCAATCCTTAAACTAGCAGGTGAGCGTAGGAGAACAGGCTGAGTAGAGCTGAGTTGCTATTAATTGTTGCTTACTCAGCACAGTTTGCAGTCTTCTGTAGCCTTGTCAGATACATCATTCTTGCTTTAGTATGTAAGAGTGAGCAGCAAAGGCAAGTGAGCTTTCCCAGTCCCAGCTGTCCTCTGCAGAACGGTGCATGTCTCTGGCAAGTGGATTCTTCCCGTAGAAGCTGTGCTGTGCTTAACCCACAGCATCTCTGGTGAGGGCCTGGGAGATTCAGGCAGTGCTGAATACTTCGTTTTTTATCGTGAATGGAAAGAGCAGCATAAGACTGTAACAGGCAATCCGGGGTTTGCAGTTCATCCTGTAGTGGTCACTCAGGTGTATTCCAGTGTTAATTGTGATCAATTTAACTACAACTTGAGAGATTTCCAGTCTCCTTAACTGCTATGTTCTAACATCTGCTTACTGAGAAGGGAAATCATCACTGCAGTGGACAAGTTGTTTGATTTCTCCAAAGATGTAAACTCAGTTTACTACTGGCCTGTCCAGATGACTTCAAAGGGAAGTTTGCTGCCAGAGATTGCCAGATACAATAATGCACAAACAGAACAGTACTGTAAAACCGTGAGAGTTGTTTCATCACCATAAATGGCATCAGTGAGCTTTTGCAGGCTGGTGTGTTCTTGGACCAGGAACGTGCATCTTATAACAATAATTTTTCTTTCAGAATAAAGGAATATCTATGCAAGTGTCACTGAGTGTATTTCCGAAATTCTAAGAAAAAAATGTCTATGTTATATGTCTGTGGAAAGCTCTACTGTTTAGTAATACAGAGAGGAAAACTAATCAGCAAAATTATAATTTCTGTTTTTCTCTTCAGGCAGGTAACAGTTCCATGTTCGCTTCATAAATGAAGCAGCTTTAAGCACATTCATATTCCTTCTGGAGTGACAGACTGAGTCTGCATCTGTTGTTGCTGCCCATGACTCCATAGACATGATATAGAAATGAGGAAATTTGTGTTTGTTACTGTGAAACCAACACTGATTGAACAACGACTAGAAGAGTGTGCACTTAGCAGGACTGTATCTTATGTGAATATCTACCTTGTATGGCATTTGGGGATTTTTAATTGCAGCTGACTCTGGCAAACAAAGTACATGTCCTGAGCAAAAAGCATCTTGAAAATGCCTCCAACTATGTGTAATCGTTGAAACTCATAAATACCTTTACATCCTTAATTTAAGTTTAAGTTCTGTGTCCTCTACCTTACCTTGGTGTCTTCAGGTGGAGTTCTCCGAACTGAAAGAAAACGCAGAAGTGGATACAGATAACATACTCTTCAATATTGTATATAAAACTTGAAAACAAAACCATGCCATGGACCTGTGTTCTAGCCTTTTACTTATAAGGAGCTGTGTTTATGCCTAGCAAAGGTCATGTATACAGCAACATGTAGTCTTTGTAAGGTGCCAGGTGGCTGGTTGCCCACCCCAGAAAGCCTCAAGAATTCGTCAGAGTTGGTGGTCTCTGTTCAGGAGAAGCAAATGCTGGATGAATAACAAAATAAACAGGAGGTGAATGTACCTCATGGAGCTTCGAAGCATTAAGACAAACTGCTGGGTATGTGAACACTGGTGAAATTTCCAGCCATGCCAAGGGAAGGGAAAGTAAAGAGTCTGAATTGCGTTCAAACATCAGAACAAAGACAAACCCATGAAATGCATTTTAAATGCTGAAGGTGCATGCCATTAATACTGTTTCTTTAAATGTATAGCATAGAAAATCTGAAAGATCCTGAGAGTGTATTTAGCTTTTATTTACATCAGCTGTAATTAATGTTTGCATTGCGTTTTAAGTGATTAGTAAGCTTTGATATCCTGGCATTCTCGACTCTTAATTCTCTCAAAACAAAAGAGAAAGGCTTTGTTTCCCACTTGTCTTCTGCATCTATTGCTGTTATAGCATCCGTGGAATCTGTACAGGACTGCTGTACAGATATAAATTTTCAAGTAAATCCTGAAAATACCATGGTGAAAGTTACAAGTTTAATTGTGCATCTTTTCATCTTGGCTTGTTCCAGATAATGGGTATGAATTATTTATGTGTATTAGGGGTTTGTGCTTCAGAAGGTAAAGATGGCTCACTTCAGATGACAGACTGACCAGGTCAGAAAGACAGCAAGAGCTGTAGTTTTAAGTAACCTGAAAACTTTAAAAAAAAAAAACAAAAACAAAAAAAAAAAAAAAACAAAAAAAAAACAACCAAAAAAAACCACCAAAAAAAAAAAGAAAAACAACAACTTAAAAACAAAAGTTTTACAGAAAGTTAGAGTTCTCTTTAAAGTATGTAGTTACTTAATTTTTTTAAGAATTCTTGTGAAAATTTTGATCATCTGCTGAATTTTCTGAGAACCATGCATAAAAATAATGACATACATATAATATATACGTGTGTGTGTGTGTGTGTGCGCGCGTGTATTATTGGTAAACCTGATTAACTGATTCCAATTTCATACTTACCAAAAAGAAAAAACCTCAAAACCTTAGTATGTTTGATGACAGAGCTTATTTGTGCAGGTAGCCACTCTGCTGGAGTTTTTGCCCTACTGAGATCAATGTTGAAATGTCTCGTGGATTCACTGAAACAAAGATTTGATCATGTGGAACTACTATTTATGCTGAGGCTTTTTTGCACATCCTGAGTGTCAGAAAAGGATCCTCAAGTCCTGCTCAGTTGGTATAAATTAGCATAGTTCCATTAATGTTAACAGAGCTTCAGGGTGTGCATCGTCTGAGGAACTTCTCTTAAACTAGATCAAAAGAATCTTAGTATGAGAATTATGCCTTCATTTTTATTCAGAAGATACTGGAGCACTCATCACTTAATGAGAAATAATCAAGGTTGCTCATCAGTTCTAAAAAGAAGAGCGTTCCAAATTTTAGCTCTGCAAAAATCCAACAATGTAATTCCCCACCTGCAGCTCAGTCTCATTTGATATTGCGTAGTTCTTTACTCACAGGGCCCTCAGACTTTGTTTCAAACTTATTTAAGAGTTACTCTGAAAGAAATGTCAGCATGACCTAACTGATAGGAAATTTGCACCTTGCTGGTAATGCAGAGAATAACTGCATATTGGTTTTGACAGAGCAGAAAATGGAAGCAATTATCCTTACACATTTTACAAAAACTTTGAATACTTCATGTTGCTATACAACATGTTCTCAAAGCAAGCTTATGCTTTGAAGTTTTACAGTATTTTTCTTAGATTGTTAAACAAAAATCTTGTATTTATTAATGTTTTTTGTTCATAAGAGTGTTAGTTTTCCTAAATGCGTTTTTTTCCAGAAAGCCAAATACACAATAATGTTGCACATTGGTGTGCCTCAAATTATACCTTGATATTCAAAATGCATGATGTTTTAGGCTTCTTAGTCTACTGTTCAATACTATAGAAAATATCCGTTATAAATTGAAACATACATTAAACCCAGATAGATTGCTGCAAAACTTTCACCTTCCAAGAGTAGCATCTTAAAATAGTAGCTAAATCACTTTCAAATAATGTCAAATACTTTAGTCTCTTCCATGAATCAAGGCAAATTTAAGGTTACATGGCAACAGAAAGAAAATTCATATATAAATCTTACAACTTCACATCACAAACATTGTTCTTTGAATATACACCAAAGTAGTGTGACACAATGAGTCACAAGCATTGTTGGAGCTCATGGTTCTCCTCTTCGCTGCAACCCATTTTTAGTGATCTGAACAAAACATTGGGTGTTCTCAATGATTTTGCAAAGCAGAAGGTCAATTCTAGACATTTGTGATTACAGTGAATGGCATGGCACTTGGAAATGTGATCATGAAGTTATTTGAAAATTTCTGTGTCCAATTTGTCTACCCACTGAGGAGGCTCTTACTTTGGATGTAGTGAAATTTTGGAAGACTACTGACTTGTGAGATATCTTTGAAATCAATGGAAATACAATGAGTTACTCTTAGTGGGAGCAGGGATGGCAGAAATAGTCCTTTAATTGCTTCTTTATCCAGTTGTAAGCTATTTAACTGCTGAAGAGTGATCAGATATTCAGTCTTCTTTTTTGGGTAGACAGAGCCCATGCATCAACATAGTTAGAAGATGAACACCCTTTCTCTTAAAATGAAATTGGGGAAAAGTGAGTGTTGTATTTTTAATGCGAAAGTCAACCAAATTTGTTTTTCAGATATCTGTGGTTTTGTGAGAAACTAACATTTGTAGGTTTCCTTTGGAGTAGTTGAACTTTGCATGCAATTAGTAGTGGCCTTGTGAGAATAAAAAGCAGATAGTGATACACTGAGAAACTCAATGTGCTACTTTAGATGTGTGTTTACTTGAATAAATTAATGGTACTTATTTCATCACAAAGCCATTTTATAAGTAAGCTTATAAAATGTGCTATACTATGGAGTATGTGTACAACCTGCACATCTTTTAGATTCTGATCTTCACCAGCTCTGTTTTCTCTGTTGCTCTCTGTAATGTGCTGAAACTGTTCAGTACACACAATACAACTACTAAATTGAAAAGCTAACTTATATATAAAATACAGATATTTTGAGTTAGATTTACATTTAAGAATTATCCAACATTCTTCAGTTCAGGAATCTGGTTCGACTGTCTATTAAATGCACATCTAC